ACAAACGAATACGGAAAAATGTAAAAACAAAGTTAAGGTAAAAGTGAGTATCACTGAACTTGGTATTTTGGGAAACTTGAAAGACTTTTTTTAATCTTTCATAACAGTAGCTTAGCTGTTAAATGCTATACGTAAGTGTTTGCAATCATTTATTAAGCTGTTAATTTAAATCTAGGTTTTCAGTTGGTTAACATGTCTAAATAAATGTAAGAAGCATTATGCCCCTCACCCTCAAGTCTCCACACAATGGTACTCAAAACTGATCTGTTGACTGTAAGGGTCTAACTTTCAGATCAACACAGACTAGCAAAGACAGCAAATTAAACTATAGTGAAATTATAACTGTCCAACACTTCATTAGAAGACTTAAGAGCTTCACCAATCAATAAATGGTGAAAACCACTGCTATAGTAAAATGTCTGTTGGGGATACACAGAAAGCTTGGAGGTTTTTCCAGCAGAGCTAATAAACACATTCAGCAATTTCAACAGACCTAGAACAGGCAAGCGCTTGTGAGAAAAATGGCATTTTTTCCTCTTATTTGATACTTTCACTCTTCATCCACCTTCCCAGCTCACACCCCCTTCGCATCACAATAATCAATTAATATTCTAAAACCCATTAACACAAGTTTCCATATTCCTTACTGTATGTGCACATCTGGCAATCTATCACAGAGCTGTAGTTACTTCCTAAATTATGTAGCCAAATCTGTACACCAAGAGCAAACAGACTTCTATATCCTCTCCGTTTAGCACAAGCTTATCCCATCCTGATGATCCCCTTCCTCCAGATTCCCCTACTGCTTTAACAAGTGGTATGTGCCCAATACACATCTAGTAGCCAAAGTTCAGACTACAACAAAAGCCAGGGGCTCAAATTCTAACAGCTCCAGGACATAAAGCCTCACAGAAAGAGACACCCTCACAGGCTTTATCTCTGACAAAATTAGTCTTCTCTTCCTCTTCACAGCCCCTGTTCCTCCACAGGAGTTACTATAGGCAATTCACAAAAAGGAGAAAGACCTAAAACCAGAAGTGTTCTGCATGTATATCTCCATGAAGTCAACACAAGCTACGATCCCGTTACCAACCTTCATTTATTCTGTCTAAAAGTTTAGCATGCAATGTTAATCTAAGCTCCTTGCCACAGACTACAGCAATTAGTTGTCACAGCGGGTAAGGGAAAAAGAATGCACATGCTGTTGTGTTCAAAGGGGTATTGCCAAAGACAAGTGACATCTATTTGTAAGTTTCTAAAAGCACATGGATTTACAGGTTTAAAGACTTTTTTTTAAGGAACTCATGCCAAATCCTCAATGCTATATCAGTTTATTATCAACTGAAATATAATACATGGATCTAGCTGAGAGAAGAATCTAGGCAATCTAAGAATCGAGGCAATTCTTTTCTCGCCTACAACAAAAATCTTTTACATTTTCCTGAAACATAGATTAACATGGGAAAAGCTGTGATCAATGCTCCATGCATCTAATGAACAGGAAAATTTTAATATTAAAAACTCTGGTGAATTAAGTGCATATCAAGGGGATTTGACTTCCCGATTATTGTAAAGTTGGGCCCAGAAACAGGGAAGGTAACGGAGTCTGGACAGATTAAATAGGTTCAAAAAAAGACTAAGTTTATTTTTATAGTGAATTGTTGGTCTTTGATCCTTTTGTACTCAGGTATAACAAGTCAATAAAAAGTTGCTGGAAGGCCCAGAGAGATTAGATCTATTTTAGATTAATTATTGAAAGAGATGTAATTGAATGGGATAAAGTAAGTTCATCCACCTCTAATCCCACTATCTAAAAACTAAATCTGGCACCACTTTCAAGAAGCCTCACAATTAATTTTTAGAGTACTAGTTGTCACAAGTTTGCGCTTCTTTGAAAGCGGCAGACTCTCGGCTTTCATGAAGCAGAGACCATAAATCAGAAAGATTTTCATGTTTACGAGCTTGCTTATACAGCAGAAGCAGGCACATTTCATGTTCTTCCTGTATTAGAAATGTCCCACCAAGAATATTAAGTCTGCTCTTGTCTATATAGAGATGTTGTTTTAGTAGGTTCAAAACACAGGGTTTTTTGTGTAAACACCAAGATTTAGTCTGGCAAAAGCACCATGTACATTACCACTATCAAAAGGTCTCAGCATCACTTTAACAACTGTTGGAGTCTGGTGAGACATTCTACACATGACTTCATAATATCTTTGCAGAAAAGCAAAAGCACTAAGTTCTGAAACTGGTTCCTTCTTTCATTTACAAAATGAAATATTTCCAGCTGTCTAAGAAAAGGAGAAGCAAGCATACCCCAAACAGGGCTGTAAGACCTATACAGAAGAAAAACCATGAAAGCTAGAGACAGCACGCTAAATCAGCGTTATCTGAAAAACAATTTTTCTTTCATTGAGCCAAGACTAAATAAGAAAGAACCCTCCATTTTTATTAAAAAAAGAAGTCCATTGAATAAATTCTAATTTCAGTGCTCATTTGGAACTTCCTTTAATATTGGTTTCTCCCTAAAGCGCATTGGGAAAAATCTTAGGCTGTTGTGAGACTGGCTCTGTAAACTATCCCATCTTTTGGAGATTATGTTGCTAAAAATTACAAAGGTGATTACTGTAGCAAAGACCATTCACGTGCCATTCTAAAGATGATACTTATTAACTTCACAGGGGAAAAAAAAAACCATCCATCTCTTCATAAGGAAGATTTTGGTACATATTGCAGTTTTACCTTCGATAAATACAGTAGAGGGGGCTACAGGAACTCAATACTCTACATCTCCTCTTTATGGGATATAAGGATATCCTTAAAGATCTGTCCTTGAACTGTACCCATTCCCTCAAAGTATGGATGAAGTCAGCTTCTCCAAAACTTGAAGCACCAAGAAGATCAAAAGACATTTACCTCAGGTTTAGGAATACTGCGATCTCTCATTACAACTGTAATTGCTAACAATTCCCAGATGCATTTTTTTTTTTAAACACAATATTTATATTTTCCTCACCAATGTAAAAGGTTCATTATTCTTTTTACACTGATAGCCTGCCAAATGTAGCAGACCAAAAAAAAAAAAAAATCATTTTTTTGCATAAATTTGGTCTTAACTCTCATCAATAGATGTCAAACTTACATTGCTGATGTGTCGCTCAACTGTTCAAGGTTCAACGTGTACTATATGGAGAAAACCTCTCCTGAAGAAAGGATATGCCTTGTCAAAAAGATAATGTGGATGAGGGTCAGACTATCTCAGATGATCCCAAGAATCCAGCAAAGGCAAGAAACGTAGCTCTCCATCCTGAAGAAGTTCCTACGTATCAAAAATTGAATGGTTAGGCATTGAAAAGTAAATGAGTATCAGTATACCCTGTAAGTTTGTCTCATCTTCATGACATCCCAGAAATATAGTTTTCATTAAATCAATAAAACTATTCCTAGTTAGTAATAAACCAGTACAAAAAAGCTCAAAGATTGCTTTTGCACTAAGGGCAAGCACTTCCAAATATGTCAGCTTGTTATAACATTTACAGATAAAAAATACACTGAGGGCATAATCACCTGTGTATTGCCATGATTTGCAACTAATCTTTCTACTCATGCCAAAGTAAGTAATATTCAGAGTCTCATTTTGGCTTAATCTGCTGCATGATTACTTTTAAAGAAAGCATTTGCCATTTAATTCTCTGTGTGCAGCATGTTCAAAATCTGACAAGACAGCAAAGATCTAAAATAGCAACATGCTCTTATATATGCATTCAATAGGAACTGAGCTTCTAATTGCAATGGCTACATGGCAACACATTTGAGATCTAGAAAAGTCATACAAGAGAGGAGGTTAGAGACAGGGAAGCAAAGAACAAGGAGAACATGTATGCAGAGATCAAGAAGATAATGGAACAACCTTTAAAAAAAGGCATAGTAAAGTAACTTCAACCCCTCATACAGACCCACTAAATAAGCAGCCAAGGGACAGAAACTAAAAGAGCAGTATATGTTGTAAATGCATGAAGTGGCAGTACCAGTTATCCATAGGGTTTCACGTGTACTACACCCAAAAATATTTATTGATACTAAAGAGAAATAATAGCATCCAGTCTTGCTACGTTACATTATTTGTTCAGTTTCTGAATAGAGCCAGATGCAGTTTTTCCTCAAATGCAAACTTTAAGAAAGTATGAAAATACTTTTTAATTATTGACCAAAAAGGTACCTTCTTCCTATCCCTGGAATCTGCTGAAATATTGCAACTGTTTATCAAAGGAGGTGTAGATCGCAGCAAAAAATTTAAGCAAGCACCCAGGAGCTTGCCTGGCTTTTTACCTCCAAGTGAATTGATCAGCCTAGTAAAATATATTTATATTATCCCATTATAAAATTTATTATGTATTATTATTATATATTATTGTATTATTATTATACTTTCCTTATAGCCCCAGACCATTGTGGCTACAACTGTTACATTAAATATGTGTTTAGATCTGTTCCTATGGTCTGATTCAAGTGTCTACTAGTGTCAAAAGACTATACGTTGAAGAACTTTGAGTTAAGTCCTCTACTGTGTGTAGAAGAGGTAAAAATGCCACCTCTAAATCAGGAACTTCATCCATGCATATGTCTTCTGGTGCCTTCCTTTCCTATGCAGGAAGATCACACACCAACAAGAGGGGAAAACTAACTGTAGCCTTCATCTTCTGCAGTATTTGCATTATTCTGCAGATGTATTCCATTCATTATTTAATAGCACTCACCATTTAAGCAAAGATACACATGCTTGCTGATAGTACAGCAAATGCTGTCAGTTACAGGAAGTAGAACTATCTCCAAGTGCAGTTACATCAACATTGCCAAAATACGCTACAGTACTACCAAAGACCCTTCCTGAACATTGGATCTATTACACAGACATTTAAGTGCTTAGAAGTTCCTGCCTCCGAGATCTTGCCACCGCGGTTCAAGGCAAATAAGAATGGAAACATGCAGTAACACACAACCATCTTCAGAAACACATGGCATTCTCTTTCATTCATCCAGTTATCAATTATCATTCTGTAGGTATTACAGCAGAAACTAGTCTTTGTTACTCCTTTGAAGGAACAGATACCAGCTTTCATGGAATCATTTAGGTTGGAAAGGACCTTTAAGATCATCAAGTCCAACCATTAACCTAACACTGCCACATCCACCACTAAACCATGTCCCATGAGTTTAAAACCCATGGGAAAGCAGAAAGCAGATCTGCTTGCTAAACAATACAAGCTTTTAGGTTAAAGTCTAAAGAGTAAATTGCAATGGTAGGAACGTGAAAGAAATCCTGCAACTTTTGCTTGCTCCAGACAGATGTTAAAAAAATGCTGTTGCTAGAAAGCATCAAGCTAAATTGTTCCAAAAGCAGTCACCAAAACCTGAATTCAGATGAGTGGCAAAGTCCTCCAAATACTCTCCAACTTCAACTCCCTTCATGTCCCATATGACATCCTGATTACAAGACTGGGTTAAACAATTATTAATGAGCTGTCCAACTAGACAGATTTGTTAACTCACTTCTAACCTGCTCCCTAATGCAGCCACTAGTACAAGTCTCTCCTTTACACAGCCACTATTTCCCAAAATACATGGAAACATGGTGTCTTTGAAGCCACTACCCAGGCTTTAAAGAAACTATATGTGTGCATAATCTTTGTTTGATTTTGTTTACAAGTCCTAAAGCCTAAATCAGAATTTCCTTAAAGGGAAACAAAAACACTCAACATTAAAAAAACCAAACAAATATAATTTTAAACAGTTAGCAACATTAACTATGAATATAAATAGAAAAAAATAGAAATTCTAGTGTTAGCTACAAAAAAAGACTTAAAGATACAAAACAGGGCTAATCAGAAAAAGGCTCAACAGCAGAGAAGCAGGTGAGCTACTGTAGCATAAACAAACTAGATGCTGTAGGGCATGTAAAAGTTACCAAGAGGCAGGGAAGAACAGAGCAGCACACAAACCCACTGAGACACAACTGGAAGTTCTGAAGGCTTAAGGATGTAGCCAAGCAGGGACAAGGGACATAACAGAGAGTAGTTTTAATTCAGGGTATCATTTCAGGAATAGCTATTGCTTTATTACCTGCACTAGCGAGAGATGAATGGATAACACGTTCCAAGACCTTTCTCTCCTTTTCCCTCTCCTTGCCCACATACACCTTCCCATTTCCAAAACAATTTGTGTAAATTAGTAGCAAGCACAGGTCTGCTTTGTGTCTATTTCTAGAAAGTACTACTCCTCAGCCTAACTGAAGATAACTTGCACGATGGATTGATATCCTCACCCAATTACATCTTACTACATGTTGCCAAGTCTGCAGCCAGAATTTCTTTTCCCTTTAATTTCATAATGTGCAAAACTTAAACAAGAAGAAAAACAAACAAACAACACCCCACCACTCTCGAGATGCCTCATCAAATTCAGGTTAAAAAACAAAATCGCAGAAGAGGAAGGCAGGGAGAGAAGGTGGTGCGGCAGATGAGGCGAGAGACACCGGGTTTTCTCACCGGCGGGGACGGCGGCCCAGCGGAGCCGCAGGCCCCGTTCTCCGCCCAGCGCCCCGCCGGAGCCCACCCCGCCGGGCCGGGGCAGCCGAGGAGCCCGCCCCCCCCACCCCCCCTT